GCTTTTTTGTCTTCTGGAAGTTGGCCATAGAACTCTTTCACTTTCGCGATAACATTATCGAACTCCTCTCCACTCTTCTCAAGGTCCTAAGGAAATTGACTTTGGAAGGAAATATATCTTTTTGAGTCTTAAGTAATTTTAAATGACAGCTAGCTAACCACAAGTGTATTTTTCTGCTCTGGAGTTAACCAATCCAAAAATTTGTCGATCGCCTTCAAATGGCGACGCCTTCTGACGGCGAGGTGGCGACGGTGATGATGTTCGTGATGGTGGTCGTGGTCATGATGCTCGTGATCACCATACCAAACCTTCTCACAAAATGGAAGATTTTTCTCAACTTCAGCCTAAAAATGAATTTAAGGGAGTTTACCACACCAATAGAAATCTTACTAACCTTTCTATCTTCAGGTAGTCGCTCCATGAACTCTCGTACTCTCCTTTTGCAACCAGCATGATCTCTTTCATGCATTTCATGCAAAGCAGCAATCTCTTCAGCAGTGGCTACATCGTCCATCCATTTGTAGCATTCCTTAGAGAATTTTTTGGGGGATTTTTCTAATTTAATATCTAATAGCCTAAACTCTAACCTTTTGTGTCTGCTCTCTAGCAGCAACACCAGCAGGTCCCTCCAATTCGCTCAGAAATTCGAAGATTTTTGCGCGAATATCAGCATGTGACTTTCCAGAAGCGTGCATCTTCTTGATTTCCTATAATGTAAATCAAATGTTCATACAGGAAACTGAACGTCTGGTTACTAGAGTTGGTTATAAGCTGAGTAATGAAATTGGCGCGCAGTGAAACTCTGTCCCTCGGATGGAAAGGTTCACTGTTAAAGAAAAGATTGCTGGAGTAAAGTGGTTCTATTGCTAGGTGTGGTAGTGTAGGACGACCAAACTAGGGCATCTTTTGTCTGTGAACAATCCACCTCTCACCGTATCCCAAAGCCTCTGTACGCTATACGTTGAATTTAATCAGCACCGTATCCTATTAATGACAGACTTATTTGGGTTTGATCTCAG